GTGACAGAGAGAGAAGGTTTGAAGCCCCGGTTTGAAGCCCCGGGGCTTCATGGGTATTTCCCGTGCCCTAAGGGAGCATTTCGCATTTCTGATAGATCGATCGATCTTGTATATTTCACCCGATTAGAAATCCAATTTATTATTTTACTATTTGGCATTTGGGAGTACACCACTGAAAATCTGAAATTAAACAACAATTGTGAAAGTGTGTTAATTCAAAATGTTTAAATTAGCTATTTTGACGTTTAATACGAAGTACAGCCTTTTAATCCGTGTTTGGCGAGGAACGAAATAAGGATGAAAGAATTGATTTTAGTTTAACTTCCATTTGGGTTGCTTGACAGGTACTCCGTAGAATTTAAATTGTGGATTTCAAATTCTGTGATATATACGGAGTGTTAGACAATAATACTAATAGTACTTCTTGTAATATTGGTTATGGTAGTGTTTCATTATTGATAAGGCAAAAGCCTTTTGGCTACTTCTCACGGTAGAAAGGGCAGCCGCACAGCGCACAAAAACAGAGAGAAAAATAGAGAGAGCCGAGAGAAGGAAGAAGAGAGAAAAAGAGAGATGCAGCCTGGTTTTGTGATCCGATCGATGACCAAAGGAGCTCCGATCAGGATGAAATTTTAGTATGTTGTTCCTGAGATCCTCTTCTTCATATCCAACGGTGGGATTGTTGTTTTTGTAACGCCACGACCCGGATACCCGAATTTATTCGAATATCCGACTCGCGGTGTTAACGGGTCTAACTTTTTAAATCGGAAATTAGAGCATTAAACAAAACTTATTTATTTATTGATATTACCAGAGTAACTATTATACATGCGGAAGCTTAACATATCCGAACAAAATATATATTTCAAAGTCGTAACATCTTTATTATTATCATTTTTCTTTATATCATCTCGTCCATCCTTCCATCGGCTTAGCGTTGTCCTCCGATTCGGTCACTATTCTGTTTGTGTACCTAAAAAAAATGGAGCCAACCCGATCAGCAAAAGCTTAGTGGTACCAATTATAACAATAGGTACGAAATATAATAGCGTAGACATATACTTTTCTCAAAACTCTTTACTTTGATAATATAAACATATTATTGTATAAAACTGTAGTATCAAGAAAATCAACTTTTCTTTTACTAGCTCTTTGTTTAACTAGGACTTCAAGTACTTCGGGTACAAGACGAGTCCATTATCTTTTTCCGGGACTTCAAGTACTTTGGGTACAAAACGAGTCTGTTATCTTTTTCTGGGACTTCAAGTACTTTGGGTACAAGACGAGTCCATTATCTCTTTCTGGGACTTCAAGTACTTTGGGTACAAGACGAGTCCATTATGACGAGCTCGTACGTACGGCAATGGAGGGGTACTGGTTAACCCTGTAGAACCTTGTGAACCTTAGTTCACATACCAGAAATCGTTTATTAACTTTAGAAAATATAATTTGTATATGTATGTGTCTCATTAACTTCTTTGAATCCATATTTCAAATTTAACACATATATTTTTTTACTCTATATACGTAATTTAAAAATAATACATAAGGTATTTTATATTTGCTTCAAAACTATCCTTTTTATCTTACTCAAGACTTATTAAAAACTTCCTTAGCATGTAGAGAAATAGTTTTAGGCATAGAATGTAAAAGAATCTTGTCACTTGAAGTTGGTCATTTCCGGTCACCTTCTTCGACGAGGTAACTTTGTTTTTATGTTTAAAACCTAATTTTTCTTCTTTCTATCATCAAAATACATTTTATAAAACATATATATAAATAGTTTGGACGTAAAGATTTGTACAAATTGTATGCTGCTATCGTGACCCATTTTCTGGTTGCCTTCTTTAACGGCATTCAAAAATTTGTTTCAAAACCTTTTTTTTCTTCGCATTCTCTTATATAATCTTTATATAATCCTTTTAGGAAATATTTTAGACAATTTGGACGCAACGCATGTTTAAAGTAAAAGTCGGCGGTGTTCCCGATTAGTAGTGACGGAAATTAAATCAATTGAGTATATAAAAAATATAGCATATATTAACGTATTATATTAAGTAACAATTGTTATACGGGCGGCGGCACTCACCTCAATATTTGAAACAAGTTGTTATGTCAATAGAACGGTGGTCTTCAGACTTCGATAGCTTTCTTTTTCATCCGGTGTAGTTCTTTGGAACAATTTGTTTGAACTCGATTTTTCTTCTTCTTTTTTTATTTCACCACTACTTCATTTTAGTAGAGAGTTATTCATTAATATTATATATATATATATATAAATTCAATTATACTTAGGCATGTTAAGTCATTCATGTATTTAGTGTCCTTAGTTTACTTAGTAAGTTTATTTTATTGTGATGATAGTAACTTAGCTGGGTGGATTTCCCTAAGGAAGCTTAGTGTTATTAGGGACACTTGTAAACCCTTGAGTAATCTTATCGGCCAACTCATCTAATTTAGATAAACATGAATCAATTTACACCAAAACCAATTTACTTGTCTTCATTAATTCCATTTGGTTTAAATTTTATTCCCATAATAATAATAATAATAATAATAATAATAATAATAATAATAATATCATTATTATTATTATGTTAATAGTTTTGAGACTAATGTGTCAATATGAATTAGTTGACATAATTATTAAATTTACTATTCTATTTTCCTTTTTATCTAAACGAGTTCAATTATCAATTAATTATTTTATTCATCAAAATATCTAGACCAGTTTTCGGGGCGTTACAGTTTTGACCTCTTGATGTCGGTAAAATTGCCTCTGTTTACTGCTGCGTTTTTATTGGGGATTTCTCACTTTTGAGTGAAGATTATTGTTGTTTGGTGTTCCAAGTTGTTGCTTGATGATTGTGTATACCTCTAATTGATTTAGAAAGGATTCTTGGTGTACCCACTGATTTTTCTTGGTGATTAGTGAAAGGCTTCGTGATTTTCTCCCCGATTTGGGGTTTCCACGTTAAATCTTGGTGTTCGTTTATCGTTTGATTGGTTGCTTGTTGTTGTGTTTGCTATTCTTGATCGGTCATATGATTTTTCCCATTTTGACAACACAAAGACGGGAAAATTATTAATTGCTTCCGCTAGAAAATTGAGGTGATTTTCCCAACAAATAATAATAATAATAATAATAATAATAATAATAAAGGTAAGTTAGTTTTGTGCTACTACCGTGTATAAAATAAATTAAAGTGTTGACGGTTTTAAAAAATGTACTCATAACTTATACTCCCTCCGTCATATAATGTTCTTCCCACACACTTTTTACTCGGTTAAACCTTAAAAACTTTCTTTACCTATTTTCATTAGGTATTTGATAAAACAATATAGTCTTGTCACCATTTGTTTTGTAGAACTTTTGATGTAGTTTTTAAATATATAAATTTTATTTTTAAATTTTACACCTACAATCAAATAAATTGAATTAAAAATAAAGTCGGTAAAACTTCGTAAAATGAATCGGGAAGATCATTATACGACGGAGGGAGTATTTATTTACTAAAATTATAAACGGTAATTTTAAAATGACACTAGTGCTATTAGTGTCATTTGCTTACACACGTTCGTTTAGGGTACCTAACGACAGTTCCTACCCCCCTTAACTCTCCCTAAATCCCCACCCCAGCCCCACTCTTGCCCTCCACCCTAGCCCTTCTCCCGTCCCCTTCCCTACCTTGGCTATTGCGAGGCAATATACTGCAAGGGTAGGGAGGGGGCGGGAAGGGGGCTATGGTGGGGGGCAAGGGTGGGACTGGGGTTGGGGTTTAGGGGAGGGTTAGGGGGCGTCATTTTTACAAACGGAGTACCGTAGGTAATTCAAACGAACTGGTGTAAGCGAATGATGTATAAGTAATTGGTGTCATTTTAGACGCTCCCCATTATAAGTTATAAAATTAATTATTAATAACGTAATTAATTTCATACAATATAATTTTTTGTACCGTGTTATAACAAAAGTAACATGTGAAAGAATAATAATACACCATCCGCCCTACAAAAATATTCTAATTTTGACTTTTAAAAGATTTAAAAGGAGTGTAATTGTAAAACTATATTATATTCCCTCCGTCCCATAAAACTCTTCCTTTTTTAGAAAAGCAAACCCTAAAATGAATAATTTTAGTGTTACTTTTGAATTTTGCTATTACTTTATACTACTCCGTTTCAGAGTATTTGTCCACTTTCATTTTTACACGCCATCCAATACACTCTTTAAGCCATTTTATCTTTTAATTTATATATTAAAAAATTATGAAAACTATATATTAATAATCTATATGTTAAGAAAAATTAAACAAGATCACACATGACTATATTTAAGCTTACACATTGAGAAAATTTGATGAGTCAAAGTGTTTAGATGAACAGTTCCAAAAGTTAAAACTGGACGAATATATATATACAAAATAAGATTTAACATGAGTATAAAAACATGTTTAAAGTTATATCAAATTTATGATACGGTATTATAAAAATGTTACTACCTCTCTCCCGTTTTAAATTGCATGTTTGCCTTTTTTCTCCGTCCCAAAATAAGTTGCCTGTTATTTGTTTTCGTAAACTTTAAAAAGTAAAATAACTAAACTACCTCTAAAATAAGTCAATCTTATCCACCTTATCTTCTCAATCATCGTTATCTCTCCTAAAAAGTACTGATATTTTTGGAAAATCAATTCTATTTTTTTCTCCTTAAATATGCCCAAAAATCAAAACAGGTGATTTAAAATGGGACGGAGAGAGTAACTAACACGGTACCGTGCTTCATTTTAACTTTATACATATTTTTAAAAAAAATTCTAAATAAAATAATTACCTTATACACAGTTTTGGTAAGAATAAAAAATAAATAAACGGTAAGTACTTAAAAAATAAAATAATTCCTTATTTTATAAAATTAGGTAAATAAGGAAACGAATCCTAATTAATAAGAATAATACTCCGTATATAATAACAAGGTCCCCCTTGAATAGAAGTTAAAATCGTATTGGACATTCTTCGTCTTCCCTGACCCTATTTCCCTATCTCCTTCGGTCCTCTCAAATTCTCAATGGATTGAACTCAGCCAATCCCCTCTCTCGGCCGAATCGACGATCTTCCCTGCCAATCGTCACTCGGTCTCATTTGTACTCAAGTCAGGCAATCCATCTCCTACTCTCTCAATCTATTCCCATCGTCTCATAGGATCGGAGAAGCTAAAATCTGCATATCGATCGAATCTTTAAGATAATCACTCGGTCTCATTTGGTTTGGTTTGATTGATTATGCCTATAAATCAATTCAATCCAATGGCTGAATCACAATCTCCATCCTCCATCATGCCTCCCACGGTAATAGCTACTTTAATTACTCCAGAGATGAATTGTGTGTTTGAACCTTTTAATACCTCTTTATAATAACAATTATTATTATTGACAGGTTTCAACTAACAATGAACTTAATAAGTCTTATCCCAAATGCATCCGGAACCCACTGGACAAAGGCGGTAATTAACTATATCCTTTCTCTTTTGTTTGTCGTTGTTTCATTACTCCTGTCTGTACTCAACGTTATTAATTAGGTTAATGTCGGATGATGCAGAGGACTTAGATCACTATTGGGCGTTATTGATCTTGGGGGTCTCTTTCGCGGAAATTCCCATGTTCTATTCAGCCTTTGGGGGAGATTTTGAAAACATTTATTTGCCCGTCTCCGTCCAAAACTACGGAATTTTTATCACTTGCAGGTTTTTCTTTGCGATTTACTTGTTGGCTCTCCCTGAAAAGAAATATAGGTTGCCCTGTTGGAAATTGATTTGCATTGCTGAGATCTGTTCAGTTGTGCTTGCTATGGGTCTTGGTTTTGTTTTTCCGTATCAGATGGAGTGCCTTGGTATACTAGCTTCGTGGACAGTTCAATTAATTGGGTATTGTCATTTGTGGTCTGGTTTCTTTTCGATTTGGGAATGTTATGCCATAGTACCAATGCAGCTACTGGCCTACGCGTTAGCCTCTAATATGATCAAGACTTATCATCCTTTCCTCTTCTCTGCGATGGCACTTGGCGGCTGGGCATTTGTTTCCATTAATGTTGGTCTTACATATTCCGAGCTACTACAAGAACCAAAAGTAGCAAAGTCTGAGGAGGGTAAGTTTCTCAATTCTGCTCAACTCTTGGATTCAAGTTGATTAACTTTGAAATGCTAATACAAGATGTTTTGGTTTCAAAGTGCTAAAACTAAATGCCAAAATAACAAAAGCCACGTTTTCTATAAATCCAACTAAAAAATAATGTTATGTTGCTAAGTGCTCTTTAGAGTGACCCCATCCGTGCGGGTTTGCACTAGTTTTTAAGAAGGTTCTTCCTTTTGCAGCACTGACCAATGCTGCTGCCAACATGCCCAACCTGATACGCTCTCCCTGTTTGCCTATGGATAAAGAAGATGAAAACAAAGGACCACCTGAGAGTAGCAACAGTACCTCTCCAAGGGAGGGCATCCCATCAGGTGCAGCAAAACAATCATCAAACTCAGTCAGCGTGATGAAAATGCAAAGGATGTTTAAGAAAGCAGCTGAAGACAACATTAGGGACATTAAGGCATATGTCACTGAGCTAAATGAATGTGTGGCTCAGCTCCAATACCAAAATCAGCTCCTAGATAAACAGCTACGAGCTTGCCAGGTATCATTGTGTCATATGAAAAATAGCATCACCCGAACACAATAAATGCCTTTATAAAGAAAGAAAATAGTACTTATTTGTGCTCTCTTGGAAGTTGGAATTGGGGGTGTGTTTTGGTTTGGTTGGTGCTAAATGGAGAGATGTGTTAAATGGTTTTGGTTTTTACATGTGCGCGAGCAGGTGCAGGGATTGGAGGCAAATGATGGTGCCGACTTTGTGGCAGACGAGTACTGGAGCAATGGTGAGATGGGGAAGCAAACAAGGAAAGAGATTGTTGAATCCAACAAGAGCAGTGACGAGTGCAGTAGCAGCGAATGCGGAGGGGCGAAGGATGATCTAGGGCTTGTTCTTAAGGTAAGAGATGCTTTTCCGTCAATTTTAGGGTTTTTACCATGTTGCTGTCTAACCTCAAGCAAGAACTGGACAAAAAAAAAGGAAATGGAGGCAATATCAGCAAAGGCGAAGGAAGAGGTCCAATTGAGCCAGCTGGAAACGGCCAAAGCCAATGCAGCCTTGCTGAATGACAAGCTAGAAGCCAGCGAGAAGGAAAAGGAGATGTTAGAAACTTCGTTGAAAAAGCTTCAAATTCAAGCGGAGCAGTGGAGGAAAGCAGCAGATGCAGCAGCCGCACTTGTCTCAGGTGACACTGAGATTGAAGGGAGATGGATGGCGATGCCTGAGAGGCGGCGCCCACTTCTTTCAGGGGACGAGGTAAGGAGAGTGGTGTCTGAGAGGTACTCCAACAGCGTACTCCAGCGGGGAGTAGACGAATCTGGCAATTCTGAGGCGACTGAGTGGTTGTTTGATGGTGACTGGGAGGGTGTTTCACAGAGTGCAAGGAAGAAGAAAGGTTCTGGCATCAAAATGTTTGGTGATCTCAGGAAAAGGAAGATCCAGAAAACTGTGAAGAGTGGTTCTTGTTTGCCTTGTGAATAATTGATACTCCCTATTAACATCTTGTTTTGTCAATCTGTCTGTCTGTACTAGGTAAGAGGATTCTGCCAATCCAAAAATTTAGATGTTTTCTTTTCAGCTAGAAATGTGTGGGGAGATCTGTTGGTTAGTTAAGCACTTTAGCATTTCACTATGTACTACCTACTTTCCGTACTGCTACTCATTAAACATTTCATTGCGAGCCAACTGATTATTAATGTTGTTTTAACCCTCAATACGGATAATTACTCACTTGGGCTATATGACATCTGTTTTTAATTAGAATGTGTCTGAAAACATTTATCCAGGCATTGAATTTTAACTTGCTCTTCATGGAACGACATTGGTTGTTCTCTGTTGGTTGAATGTTGCATGCCCATGAACATGATTCAGAAGTAGTTACCTCTAAATGTGGGCACATGGAAAAGTACGTGGATGCATTTTAAATACTCAAGGTAGTACCCTATTTTCCAAATTACAGTAGTAAAACACAACATATATCTTCAAAATACAAATTTACACTGACATTGTGACAATGTATATTACCATTTTTATGGTATTTTTTGACATTATTTTCATTACTACGTTGAACTTTAGAAAATATTAGTGCATCACCTGTGCGATGCACGGAGAGATAAAGTTATTCACAAACACTAAAGTTCATTTATTTCTAAATAGAACTACTAACATAAAAATGTGTATTAAAAGTAAATTATATTCAAAAACAGTAAAGTTCATTTAATTCTAAATAGAACTACTAACATAAAGACGTGTATTAAAAGTAAATTATATTCAATACATACTGTTATAATGAATTAAAGTAAACAACGTACATTAAGCATCAATGATACATTATCAAAAAAACTATATTAATTGTAGTATTACATGGAGTATTATCGGTGTTATATATTATCATTTCTAATCCCTCGCAAGACTATACTCTAGACATGACCACATATCCCGTGGCTAAAAATTGGTTTTTTCAAAAATAAACCAACATGAGAGAGAGATTGTCTCTGACTTTTGTTTACGGCCATTGCATACGATACCATAACAAAAAATTATCTTCTTTGAAACTTAAATGACAATCTGGTATCTGATGGAATCAACGAAACTCACGGTATTAAAACCATTTGTCCTGCATTTTTTCCATGAATCATCTTTGCTTTTAATAGGCGGTTATCGAGTCTTATTACAATTAATCGTCTATTGAATCTTATTTGCATATGTTGTCCAAACTTAAATATGTCTTCGACTTCTCACCAACATTGAAATATGTGAAAATTCAATGTATTTTTTCGTAATATATGGTCAAAGTTGAAAAAGTTTAACTACAAAAGTCAAATTGAGAAGTTAAATTTAGGACGGATATGTTTTGTCAAAAGGGCTTCTGTCTTTTTTCTTCGAGTAATGCTATTTAAAAATGTATATATTAATGCATGTCAAATTTCTTTACGTCAAATTGAATCAAGATCATAAATTTAGAACACACGGAGTATTACAAAAATGTAGAAAGAATTTGGAAAATGTATAAATTTAAAGAAAAGGAACAAAAAAATTCCCCGTTAAAGAGCATTTTGAATATTTAAAAATATTTGATTAATATTTGAGAACATTTTAGAAAATTAAATTACATTATTAAAAGAAAAAATCGAGATTGATATTTTTGAAAAATATAATACTACATTGAGAGAATTTGATGAGTCAAAGTGCTTAAATAAACATTTTCAAAAGTCAAAACTGGACAAATACTTCGAGACGGAAGGAGTACTTAAGTGACACTTCTAAATATTTTAGACACTTCAATTGAATTATTGAAAGAAAATAAAAGAAAGTGACATTTTTTCATAAAAACAAATAATTTAGTTTCATTTTTACTCTTTGATAATAAAATAAATAAATACTCCGTATCACTTTATATATGTTGTATTAAATAAAAATCGTAATGTTTTTAACATAAAAATGACTTTATCGGATTTATCGTATTGAGAACTTTCAAAATTATATTTCATTATATTAATGTATAGTTTAATTGAGAGTAATTGGAGTTCAAAGTTTGTCGAGTTTGATTTGAAAAAATCAAACAGAACAAATACACTGGAACTGAAATACTCCCTCCGTCCTAAAACTTTCTTCTCAGAGCACTAAAGTTTTTCTTCGTTTTGCGCAACGAGAAGAAAGATATAGGACGGAGGGAGTAGTATTTACATAGTATTTGGTTAGTAATCATTTTCTTGCCCTTCACCAATCATTTTCATGAAAATAATAATAAATATGAAGTTATAATAATAAGTACTACTCCACTATTTTTCTTTAAAATTAGAATGGAAAGATCAATCATGCAACACTAACGTGACTTAAAGGACTATGTCATGTACAATGGCGTGAAAAGCAATTGCTATGTCATGCCATGTCATCAATATTCTTGGAGCACGAGGCATTCTATGTGAGTTCCACCCCTCTTTCCGTGGCAGGTGCGAGGCAATTGTTCTCATTTTTCATTTTTTCCCTTTGTTTTATTTTTTGAAAATAAGAAGCATTTTTGTAAATTTTTTTAAAGAAGAAGAAACATTTTTATTATTTAATTACATATATAAATAATTTTTAATCATTAAAATATTTCAAAAAATGTAAAAAGTGATAAAAATAATGATTTGTCACTACTTGACATGTCACTCTGCTAATTTGTTACACAATTACTGAACTGAGTTTGATTGGTTAAATTATTTCACTTCAACGTGTGACATTGATTTCTTACTTGCCATTGTACATACTCTTATATATTGGCCACAAACTGAGAGTTCTATGACTCTATCCCTCCCCTTCCGTCCAACACCACCGATCTTGAACCATAAAACTCGTCCTGCTTCTGACCCCAAGTGTGAAAATTAAAAAAAAAATGGTGAAATGCATTTTTTATTATGATAAAAATTAATTTAAAAAAAAAGTACTGTCCCCATGATAGAACATAATTCAACGATAAATAAACACAATCTCTCCTCCCTAGAATCTTAATAAGCGAAATAATAATTTCGAAGTAATTCGTATGATGGAGATGAAGGAATTAAGCAATGACAGGGAATTGAAGAAGCATATTGTAACATTAAAAACAGATGGGTGTCCTAATAAACTTTAAGCAATTTTTTTAGTCAAGCTTTAAGTTCGAAAAGCGAGTTATATAGAAATGGCTAATTACATACAGCAGGAGAACATTA